GATGGATGAGTGGTGACAAATTCTTTCAATTTCTGTTTGCTATGAAAGGTCTTTATTTCACTGTCATTCACAAAGGAGAGCTTTGCAGGATATAATATTGTGGGCTGGCAGTTTTTTTCTCTTAGTACCTGGACTATATCTTGCCATTCCCTTCTAGCCTGTAGGACTTCTGATGAGAAGTCTGCTGTGAGTCTAATTGGAGATCCTCTGAGAGTAATCTGGCGTTTCTCTCTTGCACATTTTAGAATCTTTTCTTTATATTTCACCGTGGTGAGTTTGATTACAATGTGTCCTGGCTAGGATCTTTTGTGGTCATGTCTATTGGGAGTTCTGTGTGCTTCCTGTATTTGGACATCTCTTTCTTTCTCCAAACCTGGGAAGTTTTCTGCTAGTATTTCACTAAAAAGGCCTTCTAATCCTTTCTTTGTCTCCATGCCTTCAGGAACTCCTAGAACCCATCTACTTCCACTAGGCCCATGGGCAACTGCTAGCAAATGCTAGCACTCAGGGCTCTGGTCCAGACTCATGCCACACACTCCTTCTGGCTATATCACTGCAGGTTGCTGCAGTTGGTCTTACCTCCGTCCCCAAACTGCCACCTGCTCTGGCTCTCAGCTACTGCAGTCGTGTGTTGTGTCCATGTTTATGCTGCGCGTCCATACCTTCCACACAGGTCCACGTCATTCCTCTTCCTCTTGCAGGATTTCCAGTGTGGTTTTATCTCCTTTCTCTCCAATCTCCCCTGAAAGTGCAATTCCTACACTTTGTTTTATTAACTATTTATCCCTAGCCTAGTGCAGTATGTCATCCTCTAATCTGCCATCTTGGAAGCTGTTTTTGGTTTTACACTCTCTCCTCTATGCTTTACTCCTGCAGTTTCCTGGATCTCCTCCTCAGGGAATCCTACCCCATCACTAGTGCTCTGCAAAATTGATGTCCTCCAGGAAGCTTCCCATATCTGTCCAGCCCAGAAGTCCTCACTTTGCTAGCATTTCCATAGCAATGTCTTTGTATTTCTGTTTCATACCTGTCACTTTCTGAACTCCATTGAAGTTGTTTATGTTATTTTACTAGATTATAAACTCCTCCCTATATTAGTGTTGTATTGTTGCTCTAACAGATTGTCACACATTTATGGTTTAAAGTAGCACAGATGAATGATTTTACATGTCTTGAGGTAAAAAATCTTTGCTGTTGCCTCTGGAGGCTCTAGGGGGGGAATTTGCTGCCTTGCTTTTTCCAGCTTTTACAGGCCATCTGCAACCTTGGCTCACTGCCTCTTCCTCCATCTGCAAAGCCAGCAATGTTACATCCTGAAATCTCAATCTCTCTCCCTCTCCCTCTCCTTCTCCCTCTCCTCTCTTCTTCATACCTTTCTTTTACTCTGACCCTCTTGTCTGTCTTTTATAATGGCATCTTGTAATTGCATTGGGTCCACTCATATAATCCAGGAAAACATTCCCATCTCACGATTCTTAATTTAATCACATTAGCAGAGTCCCCTTTCTCTTATATAATAACATGTTCACAGGCTTCTGAGATTAGGACATAAGCATTTTGAGGGGCTTACTCTGTCTATCACAATCCCTGAGTGTGTAGGGAGCATTTCTTCAGGGCCTACCATTTTATCCTACCTGGAGCAGGTGTTTCCCTGAAAATTAAATTGAATTAAATTATCTGTGAGCCTATATAATAAAAAACTGTTATGATAAATATTGCTCAGTAAATTAATGAAGTAGAGATAGTGACTCTCCTTGTGGTGATGGATAGAAATATTAGAAGAAAACCATTTCTAGAGGATAGAAAGACTTTCCTTCACCAGGAAGTGAATAATGAAGGGATAGACCTCTAGTTTTTTGAAGGTCAGAGGACTAGGCTCATGCTTTCTGGAATGGGAGTGGGGAGTAAATAGGTGCACTTGCGAAGGAGTCCTGGATCAAGAACAGCTAATCAAAGAAGGGAATCTTCAGGAATTAGGGTCAGGTTAACAGACCAAGGTCAGGAACATAGAGATATAATTTTTTAAAAAAAAATTTATTTATTTGAAAGGCAGAGAGCAAAGAGAGAGGAGACGGAGAGAGAGAGGGAGAGAGGTATCTTCCATCCTCTGGTTTACTCCACAAATGGCCACAACATCTGGGCTGGGCCAGTCCAAAGCCAGGGGCCACTTTATGGGTGCAGGGGTCCAAGGACTCGGTCTATCCTCAGCTGCTTTCCCAGGTGCATTAGCAGGGAGCTGGGTTAGAAGTGGAGCAGCCAGGACTTGAAGTGGTGACTTTATCCACTATACCACAGTGCCAACCTCAGAGGTATAATTCTCTGAAAAGGCATGAAGTGAGTTTAAAAATAAGCCCTAGTCTGGTTGACAAGCCTAACACAGGCTTCCATCAGTAGATGGGCACATCAATGCTCAAAAGCAGGTAAGTGTGTGTGGCACCTGACTGCCAGTGCTGCCATCCCATCTGATCATCATATCACATCTGTGTTAACCATGTTGACAGTCTGCCATGTGCTAAGGCTAGCTGAGGCAAGGGTTGGACTAGACTTTATCTATTTCCAGTCTTGTGACCTGTCCTAGTTTGGCAACTCTTGTATATACATGCTTCCTAGGGTGTGGCTATTTTAGAAATCTCAAAGCCCAAGTCTGATTAACTGAAAGTGACCTGGTTAATGATGTGGTTCAGAGTCCATCATAGCTGGAAGGTACTAAAATCTTCTATTGAATGATTCAGTTCTCTTGACTTGATTTGCCTTCTAAGTGGGTTCGCTAATCAATGTTAATTGGTAGGAATGGAGTATCACATCTCTCAATGGGGCTAAGAGAATACATTCATGGTTTCATTAAATGGAGACTAAGCTTCACAAAGAAACCATAAATGAGCCTCCAAGTGTTCCCCTTAGTCAGCAAACATGAATTAGTAAAGAATTTCACTTATCTCACTTATCTCCATCCTATGAGGTACCATGGAGCAATCCTCGAGGAAAATTCTATTTATTGTGCCCCTTAGGGTTTTGTCCCATCTTACAATATCTCAAAACATGAAGAAAATATTATGTTGTTTTAAATATATATAAGGATTTCTTACAATAAATTCTGTTGAATTTTTGAGAGTAGCAAGGACCTGTGATTCACTGTATAATAGTCTGGGGTGGGCCCATCAGCCTCTGCAGAGCAACTCTTTTTTTTTTTTTTTTTTGACAGGCAGAGTTAGACAGTGAGAGAGACAGAAAGAGAGAAAGGTCTTCCTTTTCCATTGGTTCATCCCCCAAATGGCCGCTACGGCCGGCACGCTGTGGCTGGCACGCTGTGCCGATCCGAAGCCAGGAGCCAGGTGCTTCCTCCTGGTCTCCCAAGCAGGTGCAGGGCCCAAGCACTTGGGCCATCCTCCACTGCCTTTCTGGGCCACAGCAGAGAGCTGGACTGGAAGAGGAGCAACTGGGACAGAATTCGGTGCCCCAACCGGGACTAGAACCCGGGGTGCCGGCACCACAGGCAGAGGATTAGCCAAGTGAGCCGCGGCGCTGGCCCAGAGCAACTCTTATGACCTGAGGTCTGCTGGGTAAAGGAGTGAGGTTATCATCAGTAACATACTCTTTCAACTTATTGAGAGGCAGAAAAAGAGTGTGGGGAAGAGATTGTTCCCAAGCACTGGTTTAGTCCTCAAATATCAGCAACAGCCAGGACTTGAGATCAGGCCAAAGCTGGGAGCAATAATTTCAATCCAGATCTCCCACATGGGCCTCATAAATCTAACCATTAGAATCATCACTGCTGCCTCCCTGGGTTCACATTAGCAGGAAGCTGGAGTCAGGAGCTGGAGCTGAAAATCGAATCCAGGTACTCCAATATGGGACAAAGTTGTTGTAACCTCTATACCAGATGCCCACTCCATCAAGACTCACATTTAGTAGTCACTTGTTAAATCAAGGCACTGTGTTAGCCACTAGGGTTCTAAGTAATGAACAAACAGTTTAGTAAGAAAGAAACCCAATTTAAGTTCCATTGACATCTGTTATTTGAACCACACACTAATGGAACTGTAAGAAAATGCTGAAAGTTGAGAGAGAAGAGATTACTGGTGTCTTTTGAACAGGTGAAGAAGGCTTATTGGAGAAACTTCTTGTGGAATGGATTAAAAGAAGCAGAAAAGATAACTGAAGCACTACTCCAGGAGAATTATCCAAGGAATTGTGGCCCACAGTTCTGCTAGATCTCTAGGGCCTGAAAGCTGGGGTGAGGGTAAAGGGAACTGAGTCTGGAGCTTTGCTTGATTTTTTCTTTTTTAGTCCTCACAGCCACCCTGAGGGTATGAATCCCATCACGCAGGAGAGGAAACTCGCTCAGGAAAGTTACATAATTTGCATAGGGTCTGTGGGGAGCAACTGGGAGCAACTCAGACTAGACTAAGTTACTGGAATTAAGACTTATTCTATGCATCTGCTCTCCCACAATATGGCGCTGGGAGAGAAGAAAACAGCTTCTACACAGCTGCCTCCAGTTTAGCCAATAAACTGTAGGACTTGCTCCTGATTGGAGGAGAGCAGCATACTCGGCGTGTGGGCAGCCGAGTTAGGATTGGCAGAGGAGGACTATAAAGGAGGAGAGAGACGGCATTCACCAGGAACATCTAAGGGGAACATCTATCTGGGGGAACACCTGTGCAGCCCCCGAGAGAGCCGGCCGGCGGTGTGCCGCTCCCCCGCGGAAGTGGGGAATGTGGCAGGGGGAACCGCCCTTCCACAGAGGTGGAAGGGATGGTAGCCAACCCGGGAAGGACCAGCAGCCAACCCGGGAAGGACCAGCAGCAAACCCGGGGAGGGCCGAGCAGACAGAAGAACAGCGCAGGGTCCTGTGTCGTTCCTCCACGAAGACGGGGAGCGACATAATGGTGCCGTGACTCGGATATGAAGCCTAGGCAGGGTTTAGTGTCGTTCCTCCATGAAGAGGGGGAGCGACAGGGTCCTCCCAGATTTGGAATAGCCAGGATTTGAACACATACCTGTCTGATTTCAAAACCTGTGATCTTTCTTCTACTCCACGTTCAACAAAGGAGCCACTACAAGTTCAAGTTCCTATAATAAGAGATGTGTGTGAACATCATGAATTGATTCCACAAAGTTTAGTAGGCTCACCATATCTTCTGCTCTCTACACTAACCTGTTTTTGTGCTATAGGCATCCAAACACCTCAGTAGTCATTACATGTGAATTAAATTAATTCATTTATCCATCATTCATTCATTGAAAGTGCATATACAAACCTCACTTTACTATCACATGCAACAGCACAATTTCTTGTGGAGTTGCCTTTCCTTCTCCACCAAACTGAAGCTCCTGGAGGAAGGGGCTGTGTCCGCTCATTTTTGTATGCCTAATTGATATCACAGTATCTAACACACAGTATGGCCCAACAAATATTTGTAAAAATAATGAACAAATATTCCTTCAAAACATCTTCAAAATCATTAGTATCTATTGTATCAAGACTTTCTTTTTTTTTATTTGACAGGTAGAGTTATAGACAGTGGGAGAGAGAGACAGAGAGAAAGGTCTTCGTTCCGTTGGTTCATCCCCCAAATGGCCGCTACGGCCGGCACGCTGCGGCTGTCACGCTGTGCCAATCCGAAGCCAGGAGCCAGGTGCTTCTTCCTGGTCTCCCAAGCGGGTGCAGGGGCCCAAGCACTTGGGCCATCCTCAACTGCCCTCCGGGACCACAGCAGAGAGCTGGACTGGAAGAGGAGCAACCGGGACTAGAACCTGGTGCCCATATGGGATGCTGGCACCACAAGTGGAGGATTAACCAAATGAGCCACAACGCTGGCCCATGTAGGGGCCAGAATTGTGGTACAGCAGGTTAAGCTGCTGCCTGCAGCACTGGCATCCCATAAGAGCACCAGTTTGCATCCCAGCTACTCCACTATTGATCCAATTGCATGCTAACGTATCTGTAAAAGCAATGGAAGATGGCCCAAGTGCTTGGACTCCCGCCACCTCTGCCATCCATGTGGAGGACCTGGATGGAGTTCCGGTTCTTGGCTTTGGCCTTTTTTGGGGGGTGAGTCAGTGGATAGAATATCTCCCTTCCTCTCTCTGTGGAACTCTACCTTTTAAATAATTAAAACTAAAACTAAAAAAAAAAAAAAAACAGACTGTCATCTGGATTGCAAATAAAATTTGTTTTTCTATTATCCAGAATATCATCAATAATTTGCTTAAATGGTCACATTTGGCCATTCGTGGGTAGAAGTTATTAATTTCAAATATTAATATCTGAGATGTCTTTCAAAAGAGAAATTAAATATGATATAAGTTGTTTATAAATCTGTACTATGGTAGAAGATTATCCATAACCATTTGTAAAGCAATGATTTTTTGGTAGAGAATAAGCTGATGTTTGTTATACTTTGTTCCTGTCTTCTTATCCCAAGTTAGTTACATATTTTTATGATTCCTGGAATTGAGTTGCAATATTTTCCTGGGAGGCATTTTTATTCCCAAGATCTATGCTGCCTACCAAACTTAAGAACCTTCTTATAGATGTCATTTTCTTCCTTGCAATTTTTGTGCTTTTCTCGAAAAAAAAATAGAAAGAGAATATTTACAGAGTCTGTCATTGGCTCCTTAATTTTAAACTAGTATCATAGACCAAATTTCACTGAAATGACAAGTAAGAAAGTAGAATGAGCTTACTTGTAGGAGATATAGACTCGCTCACCACTGTTGCGTCTTACAGTGTGCTAGATACATCCACACATGATTTAAGCTTTAGACAACCTATTGAGCTGGGTTGTGTTACCATAAGTTGAAAAAAAACAAAGCTCAAAGGAGGTGACTCTTGCCCTGAGTCATGTCCAGCATGGAGTAAAAATATAAACTAAAAACCATGTCCAGCAGATATCTTTTCTGAAAAGGGATAACATGAAACTTAGATATATCTACTATTTGGAAATGAAAACAGCTAATAAATTTATCTGTATTTATTATTTATTATTGCTATTAATTTTGTCCTCCAGGGTTGGCAATTTTAAAGTAATTGGTAAGAATATATATGGGCACATGAGCATTTTGCTTACTGCTCGCAGGGATGGAAATTGATACAACCTTTCTGGAAGGCAATTTGGTAATATGTATAAAAAATTTAAGTGGATGTACTTTCACCCAGCAGTTTATTTAGGAATTTATCCTAATGAATAAAAATTGCATATATTTTTAAGGAGGAGCTAAAAGATACACTTTGTGACATTTCACAACATTAAAACGTTGGGAATAACTGAAAAACCTTTAGTAGAATATGGGTTAAATTGTAGTATGTATATACAATCGAGTTTTATGCGACTGTCATTAAGAATTTGGACCTGTTTTTATTGCTGTGTATATTTGTCTCTGAAATATTCTTGAGCAAAAAAGCAGACTGCAGTATAGCAAGTTTAATGAGAACTCATTTATAACATTGAATATTTCAAAATAGTATGGTTTGCTTAGAGATCTTTGCCAAATATTAATTATGTGGGCTTTTTTTTCTGAGCTATGATATTTGGATGCTCTTTACTTTCTTTAGACTTTTATGTATATGAACAATTTATAATGAGCCTGTGTCATTTTTATTATCAGAAAAGAAAAAAAACGTATAGTTTGGAAAAAAAAATTCCTTACATTTCTACATTTGCTTGGCTCTTTGCTTAGATGTGCCCATGGCAACAACTGACAACTAATAAAAATACTTCTGTTGCATTGCCTTTTATTATCTTCATCTTCCTGCATTAGTGACAGAAGCTACAAAATGAATGTTTCTAGTATCCTCTGAGTCATAAGCTTTGAGAGCCCATGTGCAAAAGCAATTAAGAAGCAAAAGCCAGATAAGCTGAATATAGAATAGTACAGAACAGATCACATTACAAAACAGAGTGTTCTATAACTAAATAGTAGTTGATTTTGGTAAAGTCTTTAAAAAATTACCCTTTGATACTTTCAAATCAGTGCTTCAAGGAGTTACCTACAGCTAAGTGAAAAGACTTTGGGGAGATAAATTTTCACCATCAGGTATTGATTCCCCACTCTCCATTTTTAGCCCATGTATAATTTTTTAAGTTTATGAATTTAGTAGACTATAGGCTGTAGTTATCAGTTGAAAATAAAAATTGCAATGGTTCAGGGAAGATGTGACTGAACATAGTGACTAAACACAGCACATAGAGTTGGAACCTATGTAACCATGTTAATGGGAGCCACAATAATGCATTAATTATGAAGGGAAATATCAAAGTATACTCCAGAGTAAAATACCAATACTAGTGAGTTCTATCTGGAGGGACTGTTTTGTGGATATAACTAAGTCACAATGTGTACATATACAAATGGGGGCCAGTGCTTTGACACAGTAGCTTAAACCTCCACCTGCAGCACCAACATTATATATTGGCACTTGTTCAGGTCCCGGCTGCTCCACTTCCCATCCAGCTCCCTGCTAATGACCCGGGAAAGCAGTGGAAGATGGCCCAAGTATTTGGGCCTCTTGCACCCACATGGGAGACCCAGAGAATGCTCCTTGCTCTTGGCTTCAGATTGGTCCAGCTATGGCTCTTGTGGAGAGTAAATTAGTAGACAGAAGACCTTTCTCTCTGTCTCTCCCTCTTTCTGTAACTCTGCCTCTCAAATACATAAATAAATCTTTTAAAAAATGATAAAAATGCCTTCTAGGAAAATTCAACTGAAAGATGTTTTTAAGAGCATAACAGAGGCCGGCGCCGCGGCTCACTAGGCTAATCCTCCACCTTGCGGCGCCAGCACAACGGGTTCTAGTCCCGGTCGGGGCGCCGGATTCTGTCCCGGTTGCCCCTCTTCCAGGCCAGCTCTCTGCTGTGGCCAGGGAGTGCAGTGGAGGATGGCCCAAGTGCGTGGGCCCTGCACCCCATGGGAGACCAGGATAAGTACCTGGCTCCTGCCTTCGGATCAGCGCGGTGCGCTGGCCGCAGCGCGCCAGCCGTGGCGGCCATTGGAGGGTGAACCAAAGGCAAAGGAAGACCTTTTTCTCTGTCTCTCTCTCTCTCTCACTGTCCACTCTGCCTGTCAAAAAATTTAAAAAAATAAAAAATAAAAAAAGAGCATAACAGAGCCAGAGATTTTATTCTTTCGATAACAGATTAATGTGTTGGAACTGTTTTCTACTTCCTGGAAGGGAAATGCCAGGTAATGCCAATGGTACTATCACTGCAAAGATTTCAACAAGAAAGATAGTAGGGAACCTGATAATACAATATAAAATGGAACCATTGCTAAATAGCACATTGAAATGAGGTATAAGTAACCTCTGATGGTATTGTTAATCTTCTTAATACCATCATTCACTAATAATTTTATTCCATTGTTGAAGTGTATAAGCTGATTATAGTGTAATTGCTGGACCATTAAAAACTGAATTTTGTGATAATTCCATTTTACAATCATAACACAGGATTTTTATAAAGAGCTGCAATGATCAGCCAATGGTAAATATTAATCCATGACCTTTTATTGTTTTTATTTTGTATACCCTGGAGGGAGTTTTGAGATTCTGGTACTCATGTTTATATTATCTCACTGCTGGCAGCTCCAAAGCTATTGCTTGAGACAGCAGGCAAAGCATCTGTGACATTTTCATTATGCATTAGTCTAATAGTTTGAAGAGGGTAAAATTATATACTACCCTAACTTGGCCATTAAAATGTATTGACCTAATAAAAATTATCACCTTATTTTTGAAGACTACTCTAACATGTCCCTATCTTTCTCCTTATTTCACTTCCTGATATTATCATTTCTGATTTCAATAGTAATTTGAATGAACCGAGTAGCAGCATTGATTCATAGTTAGTAAACTTCCTCCATGATAGTGAAACTACACTTCCATTTCATATTGACCCCTATCCTGAGTTCACACTCTAGATCCTACCACCACTTGCAATTGCTACACAACAGAAAACATTGACCTTAAAAAGACATGCTGTAATTTGATCTTTCAATTTTTTCCCCGGACTCTGAACAACCATCCTCTTCTTTACCTTTCTACTCCATGTTTTTCTTTGCCTAGGTTAGGC